GGTGAAAGCGTCCTGCGGAAGAGCACCACCCGCCAAGAGGAGGTGGACCAAGCTGGCGGGAACCCATACGTGCTCGCTGAATCGAACGCCAAACAGCGAAACATCCACGCCAGAGGGCACGTACTGCAGATACAACAGGCCAAGCGCCGCCACAACAGCAATGGGGCCTGTACAAGTACGCACACAAACAGGGTTGGAGTGGACGATGGGTGAGATACAGGGTGCGTGGTAAGTCTCCACCATTTCAACACACAGCAACGAAAACGGCGCAAGCTCGAGCAACCACGCACACATACACACACACACACACACACACACATGCAAACCTGTGGATGCTGCGGTGAACGCGGCCGTTTTTAGGACGTGCACAAGTGATAGCAACAAGAGTACGGCAGCCTGTGCAGGGGTGCAGGGGTAGGTGGCATGAGGTCCGTGAGACGGTCATTGTGTTGCAGCGAGCATGTACCTCAGCGTAGGGGTCAAGAGGCACATGGAGACACCATCACCGAGCACCGAGCACATTGCCACGTTGCCCTTGTATCAGCATGTGCAGCCCGTGACGTACCCCATACTTGCGGCTACCCAAGTAGCGCTCCAACTGCCGGAAAGCAAGCAGGCATACGCTGCCAATCAACAAGCTTGGGTAAGACGGGTATGCTAAGCTGCTCACCTATCCAGCCGCGTGTGCGTGTGTGCGTGTGTGTGCGTGAGCGTGTGTGCGTGTGTGCGTGTGTGTGTATGTGTGTGAGCGACCTTGTAAAGCTCGAACATTGCATCGTGAGGCCGCAGACGCTCGTCCTACCGTTTGCACGCCAAGCCACATTCAGTGCCACACAACACACCACACCACAACACACCACACCACACCACACCACAGCACAACACAACACAACACAACACAACACAACACAACACAACACAACACAACACAACACAACACAACACAACACAACACAACACAAACATCATCAAACAGACATAAACAACACCGTCAGGCTACGCACGGGAAACGATTGACACAGGTGCTGTGAGGCTGCGCCACCAACGCGCGACAAGCACAGCCACGTCGACAGGCCTGACGAGGCCAACAGGACCTGGAAGGCATATCGGGAACAGGGATTGCGGAGCCAATCACACCCAGCAAAGATGTGATGCGATGTGGGGTGATGGCGTGACAATGATGATGTTGGGGGAGAAGAACAAAACTAAGGCAGGAGAAACGAGACAGGCTCAAGACATGATGAGGAAGCCTAGCTGATACAAACGCACACACGCACGGTGCAAGCAGCACCAGCGCAGTACCATGTCAACAACCACAAAAGCACGTACCTTCGTCAAGGTGCACCCTTGAAACGCAGCCAGCCCGAACATTCCCACGGGCCTCAGCTGTTGGTGGTTGCTCGGTCGGTTGGGGTGGTTGTCATCGGCTGTCGGCGTTGTTGGCTGGTCAACTGTTTACGACAGCATTTAATTCACTGGCCGCATCTGCTGCACAACAACAAGCAAGCAACAAGCAAGCAACAAGCAACAAACACTGATCGATCGCCACACCCCCTCCTCCTCCTGCCCTCTCTCTCTCTCTCCCTCTCTCACGCACACTTACGTGACACTCTCAGCTTCGTTTGTGGATGGGGCGCCGACGGTCTGGGTTAGGCCGAGTTCGAGATTTACGAAGCAACATGGAGTTGGAGCCACTCAACACCAACAACGGGGGTTCCTCCACAACCACCTGGATGGAAGATCCGCCTGGGTTTTCGGACGACGGCGATGACATGACACGCAGCAGCAGCAGCGGAAGCGCAGAGCAGTACGTGCCGGCCAAGAAGCAGTTGACGGAGCACACAAAGCCAGTGCACGCGCTCGAGTTTGCCTCTGACGGCCGCACCATCATCAGCGCGAGCGCAGACACCCTGGCCAAGATCTGGGACCTGCCATCCGGCAAGTGCCTGCACACGCTCACGGGCCACACGGATGCCGTCACCTGCGCAGCCATCAGCCAAAACGTCAAGTTTGCAGTGACCGGCAGCAAGGACGGCACGGCCCGCGTGTGGAACGTGGAAACGGGCGCGTGTGAGACCGTCATCAAGCAGGCGAACACCGCCGGTCGCGCCGTGCTCTCCATCAACATCACCCCGGACGCGAAGCACGTCATCTTGGGCTCCAACACGGGCACGGTCAGCATCCACGAGCGGCAGGGCGGCGCCCTCGTCGCCAAGCTGGAGGGCCACGCGGAGGCCGTGCTTGGGATTGCCGTCTCGCCAAACGGTGCCTTCATCATCAGCAGCAGCGAGGACAAGACCATCCGCGTGTGGGACGCAGACACCACCGTGTGCCTGCGAAAGATGACGGGCCACGGTGGCAGCGTCAACGCCGTCGTCGTCAGCCCAGACGGCCAGTTCATCGTCAGCGGCAGCAAGGACGAGACCATCAAGGTGTGGAGCCTGGCCACGGGCGACTGCCTGCGCTCCATGAAGGGCCACGTCGACGACATCTACGACGTTGCCATCACCCACGACGGCCTCTTTGTCGTCAGCGCCAGCAACGACGACACCGTGCGCGTGTGGAGCTTCCACACCGGCGCCTGCCTGCAGGTTCTGCGCGGGCACACGGACGTGGTCCTCAGCGTGGCCGTCAGCCCCGGTGGCTGGCACATTGTCAGCGGCGGCGGCACCAAGCTGCACCTCAAGGACACGTCCGTGCGCGTGTGGAGCCTGGCCACGGGGGCGCGCCAGCGGGTGTTGCACGGGCACACGGCAAGCGTCAAGGCCGTCGCCGTCAGCCAGCGCTCAGACCTCGTTGTCTCCGCCAGCAACGATGGCACGGCAAAGGTGTGGGACCTGGCCACGGGCGCGTGTGTGCACACGTTTGACGGTCACACGGACTACGTGCGCGGGGTTGCGCTCAGCCCCGACGACAGCTTCACGGTGACGGGCAGCTGCGACACGACGGTGCGCGTGTGGGACAACGCCACGGGCGCCTGCATCAAGGTGCTTGAGGGCCACACGTTCACCGTGGCGGCGCTCGCCGTCGCCGCAAACAGCAAGACCATCGCCAGCGGCGGCTGGGACAGCACCATCAAGCTGTGGTCGTGGCCGGACGGTGCATGCACGCACACGCTGCAGGGCCACGGTGGCAAGATCCTGGCCCTGTCGCTGGGGCCAACGCCTACCACGCTCCTCAGCGCAAGCGAGGACTGCACCGTGAAAATGTGGGAGATGAACACGGGCCGCTGCTCCCTTACGCTCGAGGGCCACACGGACGCCGTGAACGGGGCCGTGGCCACACCGGACGGCAAGTTCGTGGTGAGCGGCAGCGACGACGGCAGCCTGGTGCTGTGGGACCTGGACATGGGTGGCGCCCCCGTGCGCAAGCTGCTCGGGCACGCGGGCCGCGTGTACTCCGTGGACGTGAGCCGTGACGGCAAGTACCTGCTCAGCGGGTCCTGGGACAAGACAGCGAAGGTGTGGGATCTGCAGAGCGGCGAGTGCCTGCGCACGTTTGGGGAGCATGGCGACCGTGTGCGCTGCGGCGTGCTGAAGGGCAGCGACGTGGTGGTGCTTGCGGTCGGCAGCAAGGCCCGGTGCGCCACGCTCAACCTGTGCTTCGACTACCCGACCGTCGCCTACAACAAGGAGGCCAACATGGACGGCTTCCTCACAGACACGGACCAGCACGTGGACGCGTACTCGCTCAGCTTCGTGCAGCCGCTGCTGGCCGAGGGCGCCAGGCAGGGCCGCGTGGACAACATTGCGTCGCTCACGGACCGCAACCCGCCCATTGCCATCGACTTTCGCTCCCTGCTCAGCGCCGCGCTGGACTCGCACGCGGAGGACGCGGTGCGACTGGTGGTGGACCTCATCATCCAGGCCATCCGCCACACGCTGCGTGGCGAGCCGGGCCTGTTCTGGTCGCCCGAGGTCAACCACAGCATCCACATTGAGCTTGCGCGGCTGGTGCAGCGGTTCCCGTCGCTGGTGGAGGTGCTCATGACCTCGTGCCCGCTCGTGCCCTCCAGCGCAGCCGCCATCTCCTTCTTCTCCGTGTCGGAGTTTGTGGGCAGCGAGCAGGACAACGCCGGCTACATGGAGTTTTGCCCCTGCGACTACCTCGACTACCCAGCCTGGTCTCGCATGCAGGCGAAGGAGAGCACGACGCGCGTGGAGCTCCGACCCGTTCTTCCGCGCCCGCCAACGGCGCTGCGGCGCAAGAAGACGGTGACGCGCAATAGCCTGACCACGCCCCCGCTGCTGGACCCGGACGATGCTGGGCACCAGCAGGCCATGACCACCGTGGAGAACCTCGTGCTCCCCTTTCCCGATTTGGCAGGCAGCGAGGCGTGCGGCGTGGACTTCCTGCACGAGCTGCTGCGCACGGGCCGGTCGGACACGTTTGCCGGCATTGTGCCGCAGATGCTGGTGGAGTACCGCTGGCGCTGCTTTGGGCAACGCATCCACTTGCGCAACCTCCTCGTGTACATGGTCGCCCTGGCCCTGTTTGTCACCATGGGGTTCCTGGGCCAGTACCTGGAGGGCACCTCTGTAACCGACTTCAACGAGGGCCGGCGAGACGAGGCCAAGCCCGCAGCCATTGTCGTGGGCGCGTGTCTGCTCGCCGTGACCACATACCACGCGGTGCGCGAGATTCGCCAGGCGTGGATGGAGCGCGCTGGGCTGTACTACCTCAAGTCTGTGTGGAACTGGCTGGACATGCTTCGCATCATCATGTCGTACGTGGGGGTGATTGCGCTCTTTGTGGACGCGCACAAGACCTCCCGCTTCTTCTTTGCCATCGGCAGCTACGTGTTCTGGTTTGGCATCCTGTTCTTCCTGCAGGCCTTCTCCTCCACAGGCCCGCTGGTGCGCATGGTGATTGAGATTATGGTTGGCATGCGCTGGTTCCTGCTCGTGCTGGGCATTGCGCTGCTCGCCACCGCCAACGTGTTTGTGCTGCTGGTGGAGGAGACGCCGGCACCAAACGGGTACGAGGACGTGGCCGACGTGCTGCTGACCATGTTCCGGCTACTTATGCTGTCGGACCTTGAGCTGCTCAACTTCTCCGCGGGCTCGTACACCATCCCGCTGAAGCTGGTGTGGGTGCTCACCATGATCCTCGTGCCGATTGTGCTGCTGAACCTGCTGATTGCCCTGATGAGTGACAGCTACGAGCTCATCCAGGACAAGGCCGTGGTGGAGTTCCAGCGCCTGCGCGCACAGATTATCCGCGAGCAGGAGATTTTCTTCGACAGGAGCGCGTTCCAGCGCAAGGACTGGTATCCGCGCTTCCTGCACGTGCTCCTGCCGCGCGGCCGCAACACCGGCGGCGCAGACTCGTCGCAGTGGCAGGGCGTGCTGCACGCACTCCGCGGGGACATGCACGAGCTGGCGACGACAACCAATGAGCGCATTGATGCCACGGAGGCGAAGGTGGACCGCTTGCTTGAGAAGGTGAACAGCGCCAACGAGAGGCTGACGCAGCAGCTCAACGACATCCGTCTTCTTCTCCACAGGCCCAGCACCCGCGCCCCGAGGACGTGAGACGATGATGGTGGATGGGTCGATCGATGGTTGGATCGATGGATCGCGTGCATCTGTATTTTTGTTTTGAAATGGACTTGCTTGTTTCTTTCCAGAGTCGCGATTCTTGTTTATTTTGTCTCTGTGTCTGTGTGTGTGTGTGTGTGTGTGTGTGAGGAGAGAGACTGCGTGTGTGTGTGTGTGTGTGTGTGAGGGAGGAGAGAGACTGTGTGTGTGTGTGTGTGTTTGTGTGCATGCTTCGTTTTGCTGTGTGTATTTGTTTCAGAGTGGCACTTTTTTCTCAAACGCGTGGTTTTTGGGATATTGGTCTCTTATTCTGTTCAGTTGTGCCAGGGCAGTAAAACGCTGCCAACGCATGCATGACGCATGAAGACGATACCGCGAGTGATATGATGTGTGATGTGTGTGTGTGTTGTGCCAAGTGTGTTGTTGACTGGAATTCACACACGCACGAGCATGAGGTGTGTGATGAAGAGCACACCACAGGCACCAAACAGCAATAAATAGAGCGGTTCCCCAAGAAACTCAATCTGGTACGCAATTGCCAACCACAAACCCTGTGTGTGTGTGTGTGTGTGTGTGTGTGTGTGTGTGTGTGTGTGTGTGTGTGTGTGTGTGTGTGTGTGTGGCTCATATGGATGTGTGTGTGTGTGTGTGTGTGTGTGTATGGCTCATGTGGAACGTCATATTCCACTGACAAAGGGGGCACAAAGGCAACAGACACAATGGCACAGGCGAGTCGATGGAACATGCATGCGGACCTGTGCTGCAAACCAGGCGACGATGGTGGAAAGAGCGACGCGGCGAATCACCAGACACAGGAACGGGAGGAACCAGAGAAAGTACTGCACACAACACACGCGAGCACAAGATAGCCGACACGCAGTCAGTTGCCATGGTCGCAAGCAAGGAATAAGGAACAGGGAACAAAGGGATTCATGGTAGAGTTGTGGGCGGGCTGTCGTTGTTGAATGAATAACAACAACAGCAAAGACATCATCGCAACAGCAGTGTCGTGTCCAACCCACCTGGGAGGTGAACACTTTGTTGAAGGCAACAAACAGCACAGTCTACATGGCACAAACAAGACGCAACAGACAGGGAAGCGCGTGAGAGTTTTAAAACGCGTAGATGAACCGGGCAAGAGAGTTTTGGTCATGTGCTGCATCTCGTCACAGACAATGGTGTGCACGCGCCTGCAAACATTGTCGTAAAATGCATGCAAGCACAAGAACAAACACGCCGTCTGATATGAACAGACACAAACACGCAGTCGCAGGTGCAAACAAACACGCAGTCGCAGGTGCAAACAAACACGCAGTCACAAGTGCATACAAACACACGCACACGCATGCGCGCACACGAACTTGGACGTAGGCGCAGAGGACAATGTCTCGTGAAAAGCGCAGGGCTGTGGAGAGTTGTACAATGGCCTGTGGAAGAAACGTGCTCAGGCGCTGCCACAATGACAGCTGTGTTGCCGTGTTTGCTTGGAGATAAAGGGCATAGAAGTACACGGAGAAGTTGTGGCGGATATCGCCGCGCGAGAAATGATACAAGTACGCCTCGTGCAAGAACTCAAAGCCGTACCTGTGGCAGGGCCAACCACATGAAGAGCCAACGTTGCACAGGAGAGCGGAGCGGTGAGTGGTCGACCTCAATGCCGGCACACACACACACACACATATCCACACACGCGCGCACACACATACACACACACATACACACACGCGCGCGCACACACGCACACACACACACACGCACACACACACACACGCACACACACACACACACACACACACACAATCCAATCATGTCACAGCACAGACACAGCCCCCCCCCAGCGCATGTGTGGCTTACAGGGAGTAAAAGTAGGTTGTGGTGAGAGCCATGGTGCCGATGCATGCCACGACGAGCTTGGCACGGGCAGCAGTGATGCGCCAGAATGGTGCAGCAGGGGACGCTTGAAGGAATAAGGGCAGGCTGTAGATGATGGGGTACAGCTTCAAGTGCACGGCCAAGCCAAGTGCAGCGCCCGCAAGCACGTGGTGCTGCTTCTTGGCAGCGTACATGCACAGCATGACCACACAGAGGATCAGAGACTCTGCGTTTCCGCGTGTGGATACGCCGAGGGTGATTGGATTAAACAGCCACAGCAGGACCGGCAGCAGCCTTGCATCCCGCAAAACCCACAGCCACGCCAACAACGCCAACTGTTGCTGTGAAGGCCCTGGTACCGGTGACGCCGGTGCGTCTGCTGTTGACAAGGCTCGTGCTTGCGCTGACGAAGCTGATTGTGCGGGTGGTGAATGCAGAGCATGGTTTCTCTGGTGGGGTTTGGGTTGCTGCGTAACGGTGACGTCGGCATCCTCCTTCTCCTTGCCATCCACAGTGCTGTGCTCTCCCTCGTCGTCGGGTGCGAGGTGGTAGATGAGCACACCGACAGCGATGTCAGCGCAGGAGAAGAGCAGCTTGCCAAATGGCCGCCAGAGCCAGATGTTGGGGAGGCACAGGAAGGCCAGCAGCGGCGTGTAGCGGTACGTGTGTCGGAGAAACGGGCTCTGGCCTAACCACACGTGCCGCGCGGCGTCGGTAAACACGTGGTAATCAACGTCCGTGTACTGCACCCTTCCTGGCCCACTGGTGGTGTGTTGAGCGGCATCGATCCCGCTGCCTCCAGCGCTGCCTTCGCTGTTGCCAGGCCTGGCAGGATCCTTGCTGCCGTCTTCCCACACATACACGCTCACCAGGATCAGCGCCACCCTTGCCACCAAGGCCACTGCGCTCGCCATGCCAAGCACAGCACGCCTGCTGAGTGCGCCTTCCTTCCTCCTCAACCACAACACACCTTCCTTTCCACTCGCCATGACACTTTCAGCCAGCAAGTGAAGCGAGTGAGCCAGCTAGCCAGCAGGCCAGTGAGTTTGGGAGTGAGCCAGGCAGCCAGGCAGCGCGCCAGCCAGTGTGACTGCCTCGGCACTGTTGTGATGTGTCCGGTGCGCGCCCAAACCAACAACAACAGAAACGGCTGAAAGAAGTGTCACTATCCACCGCACGGCCGCTTTGGAGAATTTGCTGTGCGAAACATGCGGTGGTGCGCATTTATTACACGCGAGCGAAACAAAAACAACAACAAGAGGGGACCACCATGGAGCAGGCAGCGAAGAAGGCCAAGTCGGCTCCCACCAAAGCCAACGGCAACGGCCATGGGGAGCAACAGCACCAACAGCAGGAGCTGGTGAGCCACGAGAGTGTGGTGGTGGTGGTTACCGTGCTCGACGTGCTAGTTGAAAGCAGGGGTGGGGGGGGGGACACCGCACGGGCTTGTGTCCTTGCTCTCATGCTTTCTTTCTCTTTGAGTGACATGATGGTGATGTTGTTGTTGAAGGCGCACGTGGTTTCGCAATAGTTTTGGGGTGTCGGGTGTGGATGGGCATGGTTGGAGTGAAGGGCAGCCAGCCTCCACTGCTTTACTTCCATGCCACGGGTTATGGTTAGTGTTGTGTTTTGGTTAACGTTGCCTTCGTGACTGACACAAGACACAAACGCCATGTGCGGCTGTGGGTGACAGTGGCCTTCCGTGCGCGCCTCGTTCACAGCCATGAACACGGTCAACCCCATCCGCGACCTCGTGGACACGATGGATATCAAGGGCAACCCCGACAAGAGGATGATTGCCCTGTCCATTGGCGACCCCACCGTGTTTGGAAACCTTCCAAAGTCGCCGGCTTCCACCAACGCTGTTATAACAGCGCTCAAGTCTGGCAAGTGTGACGGTTACCCTCACTCTGCAGGTATAGCTTTTCGTGTTGGTGTGCGTGTTTGTTTGTTTGTTTGTTTGTTTGTTTGTTTGTTTGTTTGTTTGTTTGTTTGTTTGTTTGTTTGTTTGTTTGTTTGTTGTGTGTCTCAGTGTCTGCGTGCGTGCGTGTGTGTGCTTGCTGTTGTTTGCTGTTTGTTTGTTTGTTTGCTGTTTGCTTGAGCCTGCGCGCCTGCTTGCTTGCTGGGCTGCTCGTTTATGTTGTGAACTGGTCTGCTTGCTCGGCTTGCCCGCTCCTCACCTTCTTACCCCCTCCCCTTCTCCTACCTCCCTTGGTCAGGGTATCCTGCCAGTCGCAAGGCATTGGCTGAGTACTTCTCCACAGACGGCCTCAAGTATGACCTCGAGGTAAGCACATCTGCCAATGGCGTGTGCACGTGTGTATGTGTGCACGCATGCTTTTGGGTGGATCTGAGAGTGTGTGCGCGCATGCCCTCTCTTGCCACCGCTGAGGTCGCTGCTGCCCATTGGCTTTCATGCACTCACATACACACGATGCTGCTCCATTGGAATTCGTTGTTGTAGGACGTTGTCATTGCCAGCGGCTGCTCGGGCGCCCTTGACCTTGCTATTGAAGGTGCGGATCATCCCATCTTATGAACGCCAAACATATATGTGAATTTTTGCGCCTGTCCATTCTTTCCGTACTTGTGTATGTGTGTGTGTCTGTCTGTGTCTTTCTGTTTGTGTGCTCTTTCATGTGTGTGGCTCGTGTGCACGACATGCATTCCTCACGTGTCCAACGCGACTTTGCAGTGTTCAACCGCGTTGGCGGGAACATGCTCATCCCAGAGCCGGGGTTTTCCCTGTACAAGACCCTTGGCATTGCCAAGGGGCTTGACATGCGCGCATACCAGCTCCTGGTACGTACCTTGCTCGTGCTGCGTGTGCTCTTTGCCCTGCGTTCTGTGGTTGCACGGGCACGTGCATCATCTTGGTGCCAACACAGCCTGTCTGTTGCGCACCCGGCTGTCATGCACACCCCACTGTTCCACAAGTAATACGCACGGGCGCAACTACCGTCCCCATACCCACTGCAGTGTCTGCTCACGCACGCACACACGCACACACACACACACCCCTTCCTCTCCCCGCCGCAACCGCCTATGCGCTTTCGCTGCTGGCATGTTCAGCCCGACAAGAGCTGGGAGATTGACCTTGCAGACATGGAGGCGAAGATTGATGAGAACACCCTCGCCATCATCGTCAACAACCCATCGAACCCTTGCGGATCCGTCTACTCTGAGGAGCACATCAAGGCTCTCATCGAAGGTACGTGTGTGTGTGTATGTTCCAGTTATTGGTGTTTCCATGCGTGCTCGTGATGATGTTCTTGCGTCTGTGTACATGCTCTCCCCCCCCCCTCTCTCGCCCACTCACCCTTGTGCTGTTTCGTACGAACACGCGTTGCTCGCTTTGCCTGCAGTCGCTGCACGCCACAAGGTGCCCATCATTGCCGACGAGGTGTACGCCAACATGACCTTTGGTCGCAAGTTTGTGCCCCTCGCCAGCCTTGCCCACAACGTCAGTGCACTTTGCATCTTGCACTCAACAAGCTCTGCTTTGTCCTCTGCGATTGTTGTTGGCCAAGTGTCCACACACCTGATGCATCCCTACTTCGACAACACCAACAGCAGCAGCAGCAACAACAACAACAGCATCCATCCATCCATCCACTGCTCGTTGCTTGTACTCACGCTGCACTGCTGTGTACAGGTGCCTGTGCTGTCGTGCGGCGGGCTTGCCAAGCGCTTCCTTGTGCCAGGATGGCGCGTGGGCTGGGTGCTGATTCACGACCCCGTCAACGCCTTCACAGAGAACGTTCGCCCTGGCCTCCTCAAGCTGACCCAGCACATTCTCGGTGCGTGCGTGCGTGCGGCTGAAAGGCGTGCTCTGGCAAGTGTGTTGCTATGCCATGGAGCATGCATGTGCGAAGGGAGGGGGTGGGTTGGTTGATGTTCTTCGCCGTCTTGACTTTGTGCTCACCTCACATGAGTTGTGCTGTGGTACTCCCACCCACGCTTTATGTCACCTCTGTGTGTGTGTTTGTGCGTGTGTGCGTGTGTGTGTGTGTGTGTGTGTGTGTGTGTGTGTGTGTGTGTGTGTGTGTGTGTGTGTGTGTGTGTGTGTGTGTCCTGTCGCTATCGACAGGCGCCAACAGCTTGATGCAGGGTGCCATCCCGTCCATGCTCAAGGACACCAAGCCTGAGTTCTTCTCTTCCGTACTCTCCCACCTCAAGGTATGTGATACCTGCTTCTTTGCCTGCACATCTGTTGTGTGTGTGTGTGTTTGTGCACTCACTGTGGTTGTCTGCTTTTGTGCTCATGCAAAACTTTGACACCACCCTCGCCAATACACAACTGACAGGAGAACGCAGAGCTGGTGTGCAGTATGCTGGAGCAGGCACCCGGGCTGACCCCCATCATGCCCGCTGGCGCCATGTACCTTATGGTGAAGCTTGAGCCGAGCATGTACAAGGACATCAAGGACGACCGCGACTTTACGCAGAAGCTCATCACTGAACAGAGCGTCTTCTGCCTGCCGGCTTCAGTCTTTGGTTCGCCCAACTTTTTCAGGATTGTCACAACCATCCCAAAGGTGTGTGTGGGTGTGGGTGTGGGTGGGTGTGTGTGTGTGGGTGTGTGCGTGCGTGTGCGTGTGCGTGCGGTCGCGTGGTTGGGGTCGAGAGGGGGAATGGTGGTGCCGTGCGGAGTTGTCTCCATGCAGGGTCAAAACTCCTTTCGCTTGGTCCTCGTCCTCCTCTTTACTCACGCGTTCTCCTCCCCGAACACACACACACACACACACACACCATTTCTTGACCTGCAGGCACAGATGATGACTGCGATGGAGCGGATCATCGAGTTTGCAAAGGCGCATGCAGACCAGTAAACTGCCTCCCGGACTAGTTTGCACGACTTTCTTCTATCCACCCCGCTATTGGCCAGCAGTGTTGCGTTGGTGATCAGTGCTGTTCTGCAACCGTTTTGTCGCGTGACGGTGCCCTCGCCATGGGCGGTTCACACGCGTGTGCCGAGTGTCGCTTACTGTTTTGCTGCTTGTTCTTTTTGCTTTGAGGCTAGGCATACCCCCCCCACCACCACCTTCCTGTCCACTGTGTGCCGCTTGTCTTGAGTGCCGTGCTGGCCGGCTACACGTGATTTCCTCAAGTGGCTCTGAGACACACATCCCATCCCTGATGGACTGTCCTGGTCCGTTGTTGTTGTTGTTGTTGTTGTTGTTGTTGTTGTTGTTGTTGTTGTTGTTGTTGTTGTTGTTGTTGTTGTTGTTGTTGTTGTTGTTGTTGTTGTTGTTGTTGTTGTTGTTGTTGTTTGTTGTTGTTGTTGTTGTTGCGTGTGTGCGTGCGTGCGTGCGTGTTGTGGGCCAGTAGGAGGGATATCCTTTGGTTGCCTAAGCCAGCTTCTTTACTTCTCTGTGTCTTGCCGTCGTCGTCGTCGTGTGCATGTGTGATTGTGTGATTGTGTGTGTGTGTGTGTGTGACTTATTTCAGCAAGCAAACAAAGGGGACAGAAGCAGTGGAAGCAGAACAAACACACACCATCACCGAGCAAGCAGCAATCGCAGCACCAGCAACATCAACAATCACACCACTGACCAGCCACAACACCAAAATGTGCCACATTTCACATGTTTGTGCATGACGTCATCGTTGTCCAATCGGTGAAAATTAGGTTGCGTCACCAGTCCACGTGTCTTCCTAATTGTTGTTCGTTGCCAAGTTTCGAGGTTTATCCATTCCGTTCACTGGCAGATATTCGTTTTGCGGGTGTTCACGCAGCCTACACAACGACTAGACAACCTTTGGTCTGCAAACTGGGGCACCCAAAGAGCCGTGGGTGATGGGAACAAAGTCACGGCCAGAAGAGAAAGAAGTGTTGGGGGGGGGGGCAACAAGCAGCGAAAGTGTGTGGTGATGACAATGTGCACAAACTCGCGTATGGTCACGTGTCACTGATACCAAGCTTTGATGTGTATTGCTTCTCGCTGGTGGATCACACGCGTCCCATGACAAGGCAGGGTGTACGTGCATGTGCATGTCCAGTGGCAGAATAACAGATGCAAGCACAAAACTAACGGGGATGAGCAGGGGGCCATCGAGTGACGGGCGATTGCAAGTGCACGGGGCACACGCAATGGTGCTCGTGCAGCTGAGCTGAGCAGGGCACCCCTTGAGGCCTCCAGCTATGATGCATGAACAACGGCGTGCTTGCGGGGAGGAGGAGGAAGGTCAACGTGGAGGAAGTAGGGTCAGCAAACAGAGAACGGACGCGCAGGTGTGAAGAAGGACACGACACCCAGTTCAACAAACCAGCAGCACAACACACACACACACACAACACACAACACACAACACACACACACACACACACACACACACACGCACGCACACACATGGCCTCATCAAGACTTCGCTATGGGCAGGGAAGCAAACTTAAAGGGAGTCAGCAATAACTCAGAGAAAGGGAAAGTCGGCCGACTGAAGGGCAGCTGGCTGGTGCGTAAACACAGCAGCACAGAAAAACACCCCCCCCCCCCCGAAAACACACACACACACACACACACACACACACACACACACACACACACACACACACACACACACACACACACACACACACACACACCACAGTTAGAGGGTGGCGGGCAGAACAAGGTCATAAAACTGGCAGCGGTACTCGTGACCGGCACGAATGAGGGAGATGGTGCCGGGGGCATCCTGCCCCACTTGCCCACCACTCGCTGCCTCGTTCTCCACAAACAACTTGACTTGTCCGTGCGCGACGTCGCTCTGGAAAATGTGCAACGTGCGCCCAGCCGCGCGCGCCAGCGCTTGCGGCATTGCGTCCCACAGCAGGGTGCTGTGGTAAGGGTTGACAACGCGGTTGACGACAATCTCGGTGTGCTGCAGCGCCTGCGCTGCTGCTTGACGAACGGCGGTGCACTCTGCACTGGTGAGGTGGTCCAGTGGGAGCGACGTTGCCAGGATCCGCAAGGCGCGGCGGAAGAGCTTCTGCGGATCGGCGTTGTCCATGCCACGCGCCACCGCGTTGACGAGGGACCACGCGTCGGTGGGGATGCCGCAGAGGCGGTAGGCGCGCTGGTGCATGTACTGCTGCAGCATCTGAAAGCCAACGACGGCCGTGAGCAGGGACGCCGGAGAAAGCGCGCGCAGCTGCAGGCACGTTGGGCACAGCGGACTCGGCAGCGGCACGGAGGGAGGCTGGACGACGCCAAGGCAGTGCCAGTGCACGCGCGAGTTGCACTGGCAGCAGCGGAAGGACGGCACGTCCTGGCTGGAGGAGCAGACGCTGCAGACGGGCGACTGGGTGATGTCAACAAAGGCCATCCCGCAGTTGGTTGCGCTCAGCATGGCCGATGTGGCAGCCCACTCCAGGCGACGAATGAGCTCTTTGCCCAGAACGGAGCTGGCTGCCTGCTGTGCCTGTCCTTCTTGGCGCTCGTGAGAGCGGTGGTGGGCGTTGAGCTTGCGCCTGTCCTGGAAGCCCTTGTGGCAGATGGGGCAGCGGTACGTGTACACGTTCTCGTGCTGCGTGCGAATGTGCCGGCGTAGCGCCGTCTGCGACTTGAACTTCTTGTTGCAGTTGGGGCGGTTGCACTTGAGCTTGGCCTCTGTCTCGTGCTTGACGCGGTGCTTGCGCATCCACGCGGCGTGGCGGAACACCTTCCCGCAGTCTGGGCACGCCGTTCCTTTGCGTGCCTTCCCATTGCTGTGACCGGCGCTGCCACTGGTGCCGTTGACGGCCGTGGTGCTGGGCTCCTGAGCAGCGGGGCCATCTGGGTCAGGCTTGATTTCGCCGCTGGTGACGGGCGCAAGTGGAGCAGGGGGCCCAGGTGTCGCCTCCTTGGTGCCGTTGGCTGCCGCGGCGTTGCCGTTCCCTCCGGAGGGCTGCTTGTTGGCTGCCGTCGATGCAGGCACACCAGCTGATGCCAGTAGCGGTGTCTTTGTCGTCGAAGGCGCGCCACCGCCTTTACCACCGCTCTTGTTGTCAACATCATCAACATCATCATCATCATCATCACTGCCATCACTGCCATCGCCTTCATCGCTGCCGTGACTGTAATTGGTATTCTGCTGTGGAGACGCAGATGTAATGCCACTGCGGCCACCGCGTGTATGCGCTTGCTCAACACGGCCGCCCACCATCTGCACATCATCATCATCGCTGCTGCTGCTGTTGCTGCTGTTGGCGTCGCTATCATCGTCACCACGGCGGACGGCGCCCCTTACGTGCAGCTGTTGTGCTTGCGAACGTAGTGGTGGTGGAGGTGGGGTGGGCACTGGTTCAACCTGGCCATTGGCAGCAGCGGCTTGCGCGTGTCGCGCGAATAGCGACATGGCAGCCAAGGACAGGGGCGCCATCGCTGCCTGCGGCACTTGCTGCTGCTGTTGTGGTCGCTGTTGTTGCTGTGCATAGTGGAAGGAGGGTGCTGAGGGTGCCGAGGTGGATGACGAGGAGGAGATGTAGGATGCGGACAGTGGAAACGCGGGTGTGGCTGGGTTTGCCGTTGGCGCAGTTGAAGCCGTTGCTTGGGACAGCCGGTTGATGGCCTCTTGCATGGCTGCTTGCCAGTAAGCAGGGGAGGAGGAGGAAGAAGAAGAGGAGGGCAGCACCTGTGCAAGGGAGGCGATGGGCATGGTGGCACCGGCACTTGCACTTGCTGGTGCCGAGCCGTTGGGCAGCGTCGCCGCTGATGCGGATGATGGTGCAGCCTTCACGAGGCGAAGCGCGTTGGGGTCAATGAGCTGCGGATACGCCTGCATGAACTGGAGCAGGCCCACGTCCGGCTGCGGCAGTCTTGCGGTCAAAAAGCCGCTGCTGCTGGCGGCGCTCGCGGCCATGTGAGCTGCCATGATGGAGGGATCGGTGGTGTGCGGCAGGCTGTTGTGCTGCAAAGCGGGATTGGAGGTGACCATGCCAGTCATACTGGTCTGTTGCCTCCAAAGGAGCTGTTGCTGCTGCTGCTGCTGCTGCTGCTGCTGCTGCTGCTGTTGTTGTTGTTGTTGTTGTTGTTGTTGTTGTTGTTGTTGTTGTTGTTGTTGTTGTTGTTGTTGTTGTTGTTGTTGTTGTTGTTGTATTTGTTGTTGTTGTTGTTGTTGTATTTGTTGTTGTATTTGTTGTTGCTGGGTGGTGGGCTGTTGTTTGGGAAACGGCTCGCTGGCAGGGAGGCTCGGAGATGGGGCGAGCGCACCCAGTGGCTGGGAAACGTGTGCTGTGGGAAGTGTCGCTGCAGAAGCAGCAGAAGAAGAACCGGACGGTCCTGGGGCACCCCAGGGCGCAGAGGCAAAGGCGACTTGCATGCTGCGCGCGATCTTGGAGCTGCTGGCGACGGCGGCGTTGGTGGAAGACGAGGAGGAAGAGGGGGCGATGCTGGTCTTGATGCCTGGTACCGAGGAGGTCATCCGTGCAGCAAGGGAAAAGCAGGCCAAGACGGGGTTGTGTGCTGCCGGCGCAAACAGCGACAATGGCGCGTTTCGGCTGTGCCTGCAGGCAACTTAAATTGAACCAAACCAACAAGCCAAACCGATGAAAGTGGCTGCTTGGCTGTCGTTGTTTTGTGAGGGAGGGGGGGGGGTTGGGCTCGTAGTTTGAGGGCAAGGATCGCGAGTGCGTCACCGGGGAGAGGAGCTGGACCGAAGGTCAAGCAGCCAAATCACGACGGCCAGATGCGGTTGATGGAGGAAGTGTCACAGGGGAGATGTGGGCAAAGTGCGTCAAGAAGGGGGCAGTATGGGGTGAGCAGGCACGCGCGTAGATCCAGCCACGAACAGACGATGAATGGAGAAGTGTGTTGTTGCGTTGTGTGCTTGTGGTGACAGGAATGGAGAGTGGGTCAGCTGTGGGAATATGCGCTGGCTGGCTGCTGGCGTGAAAGGAATGGCACACAAGATGGTGCACATAGGCAAAGGACAGAGAGAGAGAGAGAGAGAGAGAGAGAGAGAGAGAGAGAGAGAGAGAGAGAGAGAGAGAGAGAGAGAGAGAGAGAGAGAGAGAGAGATCCAGGCGGTGGTGTTGTGGGGAGAGGCGAGAGGGTTGAGCCCACAACAACAACAACAACAACAGCACCCGCAAGCAAGCGACAGAGGAGGAACAACAGCGGGAGGACAAGGCTGTTGACACACGCGTCACAGCGTGGAATGAAGGTGGAACACAAGAGGGGGGAAGTGCAGTGAAAGTGAGACAAAGGAAATCATCAACACAGCGTGCGGAGGTTGAGCCTTGGTTGGAATGGAACCGGCAGACAAGCGGGTCGTAAGCAAGCAGGGAAGGCAAGGGTAGGCAGTAATCACAAGAAAACCAAAGGGGGAGCATGCAAGCGCGTAAAATGAATGAGGGTGCTGGGCCGGAGTGATGTGCTCGGACAAGGTCGAGCTGACGACCGGCAGTAAGCAAGCGAGTGAGCAAGCAAAGCAAAGGAAGCGCAGAATCAGCTGTGGTAACACAACTCCCAACGCCCAACCAACGTGGTTGTGTGTGAGTTGAAACCGAAACCAAAATCCGCAGTGTGGCAAGGACAAAGTGGCACACAACAACGGAAGTGGCGCGCGTTGGCGGCGGTCAACCCAGCCAGCCTAGCAAGCAAGCGAAACAGAGGAGGGGGGGGAGAAGCGAGGCAAGACACTCTCAAGAAAAAACTGGAGGAGGTAAGTGGGGTGATGGTGATTGAGGGGAGAGGGGGACAACCAGCAGCCATACACTTCCAACGACGTGTTTGCTTGTGCATCCGGGTGCGTGTGTGTTTAGTCGGTGTGATTCAAGGCAAGGCCGGAGATGGCGCAAGGCAACACGCGCGTTTCTGCGTTTGGAGTGGCCTTGCCACGGCGACATGTGGGATGCGTACCTTGTTTTGATGATGGTGCCTTGTTTTGTTTGGCACTGTTGTGGTCTTGTGACAGTTGTCAGGGAGCTCGGCAAGTGTCTGCGTCGTGAGATCTGATGATGAAAGAGGAGGGGGGGACAACAAGAAGACAAGGCAAGACTGCAGCAGGAGCACCAAGGGGAGAAATGGCAATTCAGTGGCGGGTTGACGTTTCCGTTTGTATGTGAGAACGTCAAAGGATATCGTTGTTGTTGTGTGGTGCGATTGGGGGGTTGTGTCATGCGTGGCAGGGGTGCAGGGGTGGCTCGTGTTTTGTTACGGTTTCTCTCAGCAGGCTCTCTCAGAGCAAATGTATCGTCTTCGTTTGTTTGGAGGCGTTTGAGACGTGGCATGTGGTGTGATGATGATGTGACAAAAGACGTTGTGACATGACACATTGTGCTGTAGTGATGCGAGGGGGTTGAAGACGTGGCAGCAACAACAAACAAAAAAGGATGGACATGCAACGACCCAGCGCCAACCCACCAACCAACCCACCAGTTCAAGGCAGCGCTGTCTATCGTCACTGCCCCAGGTGCATCAATGCTGTCAGGCAGGACCCTGGTCTCGCTGTGTGCTGTTGGATGAAACGTGCTGCTGCTGTTGTTGTTGTTGTTGTAGTTGGTGGCGGCGCAAAGGCAATGGGCGCTCCTTCTTGTTGGATTGCTGTGGACGCTCGCTCGCACGCTCGTGCTGTTGTTGTCGCCACCAGGAAGCGTGCTCGCCCTTTTTGGTTGCTTGGTTGCTTTGCGTCAAGAAGCCTGGGTCGTCACGTCTTTTCTGCTTGCTTCTTGGAATCCACTCGTGCACGCCGCATGGCAGTTGACGCGCTTGAGGTGCGATTGATTGCTTCGCAGCCTCACTTTTGCTTCGCTACTTCCTTGCTGCTGTCCAGCCTAACCGATGACGCCCAAATAATCGCACCGCTCGCTTCTCGCGACGTCGGATGGTGGCCTTCGAGACACCCTTCTCCTGCTTCGGTGGCGTACGATCGGGGCAAAACTCACCGCCGAGCAAAACACGAAAGGACAAAAGAACAAAGCCAACCCCAAACACGCTGACGTGGGTGACCACCCAACACAACAGAAACAAAACAAACAAGGGAGAATTTGCTGGAGACGGTTGTCGCGACGCAGCAAGTAACGTGGGCATGGGAGCTGTGGGAACACGCGTAAACGCTATGTCCAAATCCGGTGGAGAGCAGGAGAGCAAAGCAGGCACAACACATTACTCGTGGTTTCCAGCGTCGCGGGGCACTTTTGACCCGTGTGCTAGGCTCAAAAGTACACGCGGGACATGGGAGCGAAGTAACACACGTGTGTCATGACATGCGGCACAAGAATCAAGCAATGTCGCAAACAACACAAAACAAAACACACAGGCACACAAAATGCGCAGCCCTGCCTAAACGCCGGATGCGGCGTGGGAACTTGCAATCCCCAAAGTGTCAAGGCGCGATATCGCCAACATGGATGAATGTTTCGACTGAATTCAGTACTTTGTATTTCATGCTGTCGCGCAATGGTCCGCTTCAAGTCGAGGTGTGTGTCTGTCTGTGTGTGTGTGTGTGTGTCTGTGTGAGTGTGTGTGTGTGCCTGTGTGTGTGTGTGTGTGTGTGTGTGTGTGTGCTTGTGTGTCTGTGTGTGTCTGTGTGTCTGTGTGCTTGTGTGTGTGTCTGTGTGCTTGTGTGTGTGTCTGTGTGTGTGTGTGTGTGTGTGTGTGCTTGTATGTGTGTGTGTGTGTGTGT